ATTGGAAGACCATAGCGTTCGCAAGCAGATTTTTGAATATTGCCGAATTAAAATACAGCACCAATGAACTCGAACTACTGGGATTAGTGTGGGCACTAGACCATTTCAAAAATTACCTATTGGGCAAACAATTCTCAATTTTAACAGACCACAAAGCCTTAATAGGAGCACTGAAAGGCGACAAATATACTAAAACGGCCCAATCACGTCTCACCCGTTGGGCGGACAAATTACTACCGTTCAACTTTACTGTCGAACATTTACCCGGTAAAGATATGGGATTCGTTGATTATATATCCCGACACCCATCGGGTGAACCCGTACCAGTTTCTCTGGATGATGAAAAATTTGCTATCGCATCATAAATCAGATTAGTATGCTCCTAGGTTTTGATCATCTAATGCCGAGAAACTCGTGGTCGCAAATAAGAAATAAATTCTCTCAACATTTCTTAGCACATGACGTCACTTCCTGCAACATGATTGGCCAGTCGACAGATCATATGACCAGCCGAGAAATAGAACGTGAGAAACGAATTGCTAATGCCGCTGAAACGTTTCAAGCGATAGCTAACTATTCCAACATTTCAGTGTGCCAAAATTCTCACTCGCGGACGGAACAGTGTGATTCATCTTGCAAAATAAAAGACTTTTTTTACGAATTTTAACATCTTGAAAGAAATGACAGAACAAATTGAATTTAACCAACAGAAAGAACCTATTACTAATAAAAACATGGACTCTTTAACACCAAGTACCAGTAACCCGTCGGATAACCCCGTGAAAAGATCACCTAGTAAAAAGAAAACAGTCAACATATTCCCTTTTTCTTGGCCAGAAATATTTGATTCAAAATTTATGTCCCTCTTATCAAAACAAGATCTAGTTCTGAAAAAGATAATTAAAGCAATTGAGGAAGACCGCAAACAAGATATTCTACAACTGGGAAATTACTTTAAATCGTACTTAAATAATTTACACGTCAGCGGAGGATGTCTTTATCTTGACAATCGATTAGTTATCCCAGCATGCCTAAGATCGACAATGCTCAACCGACTACATGAAGCTCACCCTGGCCAGTTTGCAATGAAAAGTCTGGCAACTCAATACATCTAGTGGCCGAAAATTTACCGCGAAATCCAAGTCCACGGCGAAAACTGTATTGAGTGTGTAAAAGCAGGTAAAAACTTGAAACCTCTTATAAATCACAATACCCTAGGGAAACTCCCAACGGTCGAAGAACCAAACCAAGAAATGGAATTAGATTTCGCCGGTCCGTTACCTTTAGTATGGGGAACAAAAAAATACATATTGGTGTGTGTGGATAGATTTTCAAAATTCCCATCAGCTCAAATAACATCCAGCACATCGGCAAAATCTATCATAAACTTCCTTAGTAAATACATTGCTTTACACGGGATACCTAGAACCATTAGAACAGATCAAGGATCTGGTTTTATCTCCAAGGAAGTCAGAGAATTCTGCCACGAACACAACATAAAGGTGATATTTAGCCCACTGGGTGCTCATAGAGCTACCGGACTAGTGGAACGCTTAATCAGAACCATTAAGGAAAGGCTCTTGGTTATGGCACAAGAACGTTTAAAACCTTCGCTAGAATCTGCACTTCTGAAAATAATAAAATGCCTAAGAACGGTAACTCAACAGTCGCTTAACTGCTCTCCCTTCGAAGCACATTTCGGTAGATCCCCAAACACCATCTGGCATAATTTGGTCAAATCACCCTCTTCAAATAACCTTGATTGGAATAAAACTTTGTTATGCATAGATAAGGGCAAAAAACTAATGAGTCGAGAGCGAAGACACGACTGGGACGCCCCCGACGACATAGAAGATGGAGACGTTGACGAAAACTCCTCATCCTTGGAGGATATCTCAAATGCAGTGAGATACGTACCAACCAGTGCTGGATCCCCAGTAAAAGTGCTTTCTCGGGCAGAAAAGAGAGATGCCTTGGGCATAAAGGACTCAATACTGAATAACCCGCCGGGTAAGACCTTTATTTATCGAAAAGTCCAAGATAGAACGAAAAGTGAACCATTCTATAGAGTACTCAAGGATGAAATTGTAAGGGAGTCAGACCACACAGTTACCTTAAAAAATGGTAAAATAATACGTAAATCTGATTTAGCTATTAAAAGACAACTCGCTCAGAAGAAACCCAGCCCGAGAAAACGAGATCAATTAGCTAGATTCTACGCGACTAAAGGACTGAGGAAAACTGTAAAACCGCAGAGAAATGTCGGGTTCAAAAGCTCAAGAACGACGCAAAAGAAAAGAAACCTCCAGTCGAAATTCGAAGAGCTTGATATAGCGAGGCGGAATGCGGCCATGAACAGCTCTAGGGAAACTCTTCTCAGAGAGGAAAAAGAACAGAGGAAGAGATTAAGAATCCCAATAGGCCTCGAAAGTGACCAAGAATCAAGCCCGTCGGGTAAACCCGACCATCGAAAAAGTTGCGATAATGAACCTGGAATGATGAACGAATCACACGAAGAGATCTCAGACGATAACGCCAGCGACCTAATTTCGCTAAAAGACCTCAAGAATAAAACATCACTTGAAGCTACAAAATCTCAAGAACACCTAATCTCCGACCGAACAGATCGTAAGCCAGAAATACCGGATCATGTCGAACAGAAGGTCGAGTTGGACAAGATTCCCCTGATCGACTTGGATTCACGTGATAATGAAAGGGACCCACAAGTGACCCCACAGTTGGTTTTCCTGGACATTATTGAGGAGGCCAATCAAGCTAATCAAGAAAAGCCGTTTCTTCCGGAGAATCCTGGAGGGGAATTTACCGCGACTAGTGTAGAACCAATCGCCATGGCGGAGGCGGAATCTAAGCAACCATACTCTGACCTTGCCACTAAAAAACCGAAACTGTCCGGTACCGCTAAGAGGAAAGCGTCATCTCCGATGAAATCACCACCCCCGAAGAAACTGCCAGAAATCTTTACACGACAGAACACCAGACCTATGCGAACTAGACAGCCTCCCAAGATGCTAGATGAGAGAGTGTTTACCAGTGTAGTTGATTTAACAAATGAAGATCAGGACGGCCCAACATTTAATTCACCTAGTTCTCCCCCAGCTTACACAACGATAGAAGCAACTACCGTCGAAATGAAGAGCCATCATGTCGACTTGGTAGACTTGACAACCTTAACACCACCCTCATCTTCGCGTCCCACTATAGTTCACTTGCGGGAAGAAAGCTCTGTGTACCCTAGTGATCCAAAGCCCTCGGTATCAGATTACCAACATACTCCTCGCAAGAAGGTCAAATTTAGTCCTGAGGTCTGTACCACTCAATTCAACCCATCGGGCCTACCCTCCGAAACCTCTTATTCAACATCTGCTCCCATTGTACTTGACCCAGACTGGCTGAACACTTCCTCCATCATCTCGGCGATAGAACTCCTAGGACGGCCAATGACGCTGGAGGAGTTAAGGAGATGGACAGTCAACAAAGCGGCAAATCGGGAAGCGAATTAGAAGGAGGAGTTTCAGTCTAGATGCTAGCATAAACTTTCATAAACTCTCATAAACTCCGTTAAAAACTTTTAGTTCTTTAGTATTCTGTCTATTGTTGAATGCTACGTAACATTCTATCGCCTTTAGAGTCATATAAACCCTCAGTGCTGGCATAATACGCCAAAAACTTAGATTACTTCTGACAAGACTTAAATTTTTAATTGAGCCCCATAACCTCGTTTTCAATGATGTTAAATTTCTCTATCACCCATTGGGTGCTACCACTGGATAATTACTAGATCTATCCATCATAGTACTACCCTTCTTAATTGGGCCGGCCTTTGGGGATACTGCCCTGCCTACCCTACTGCCTCAATCACCCCAGCGCTATTTCTTTTCTTTGCTCGGCTATAGTAATTGGACTACATTTAATTTCGCCTGATGAAACATGTTATTTGATCTAAGGTGCTTTGTTTTTTTTTCTTTGTTTTCTCTTCTTTTGTCTTGTTACTTAAAGAATACGTCTTCCAGCCCATCGGGCCCGTTTGCGCGGTCTTGCCCGACCCGTACACCCGTTCCTTCGACCTGGTAACCGTGCATTAAATTTTTGTTCAGCAGGAAACACGCTTTCTTGGTCCTCGGTGCTTTGTCGATATTAATGCCTTCTAGTAAATCAGACCCACTGTTGGGGTCTTGGCTAACGAGCCCACTTGTTCATTCAACCTAGCGTCTAAATACTTTTTTTTTGCGAGGCGAAAGTAATAGGTTTTAGATAAATTTTCGCGGGGAATGTAAAATGTATTATTAATGTTTGATCGTTTAACCTCTGAGCTATACTGTTCGTTGACCTTTACGTTATTAATTTATATACACCTGCCAAAAGCGCAACGGCTTTTGGTAGACTTGGAATTTGCGCACAATCTTTTGTGATAAGCAACAAATCAACAGGAAACTAATTCAATCTTTTTAACCTCGCTTACTTTAGTTAGCTATCACCGTCTTTTATTTAGTCTTAAATAAAAGCCTATCTTACCCAACCTTAGTCTTAATCTAGTCTTAGTTTAAGTTACCACTCTTAATCAACTACGAGTTTTATCCTAATTTTTTAACAAGTCGATCACGTTTTTCGTGACATTTGCACTTTTTCGGTTTGATAGAGGACTTTGCCTTCCTTTTAAAAAAGCAAATGATGAAAAGAAAGCCGCGAAAAAGTACATTTGAGCCTGAACAAATTTGAGCTTTCCCAGAAAAAAAATCAATCGAAATTCATCGAAGGCTTGTAGGCTAACTATCAACTATTGTGGTGAAACTCGTTCTTTGACTCTCGAACTCAGTCACTCCAGTCACTGGTTGTAGTCTACAAGCCTTTGGTAACTGGCAAACCATACACTGATCAGGGTGGATCTCTAGTTTTGAAAAAGTTGTCATCGGAGGATGACTTGTATGTGACACCAAAGGGGGGGGGGGGTAGCTTAAAATGATGAAGTGTGAGTGACTCACGAGTATCTTCTGCCAGGAGTAGGGGGCGTGAGAGGGTCTGAAGAGGAACCACCAGAAGCAGATGCCGACTATGATGAGGGAGCCGATGAGGTGTGTCCAGATGTTCACAGTCTCCGAGTGGAGGGAGAAGACTGACTTGAAGCACGTCACCACACAGGGGATGGGGGGTCTGTGGTTCTCGTGCAGGTAGTCGTTGTCCTTCAGCCACTCGGGCAGATGCGCGTGGGCTATCAACTACACACACACAAACAACGCACAAATAGAACCACATTTACAACTAACATCATTGCTAATAGATACAATACACACAATACAGTTGGAATGGAATATACCGTACGCAACAGGACCACCTGCACATCCCCGCCCTTTGCATTGTAACACTTGGTTAAAATAATTAAATTACTCCAGTATTTGATGCATTTTAAATTTTCTTGGGGTGGCGGATTTTCAAAAATTTTGGTCGGCCTTTTCTAAGTCGACGTAAACGATTTTCTGAGCTCTTCCAAAAAAAACAATGAAGACCCTATTCTGTGAAATTTTCAGCGCCATATCAAATGTACAAAATTATTCAAAAGAAACTTGTTCCAGGTTCGCTACTCAAATATTTCAAGCTTGCCTGTTTGGGCAAGATCAGGGGCGGATTCGACCCCCTGCCGACCCAAAGGGTCCCCCCTTTATACTACTTTAAGATAACCATTTATGGTATCGGACCTTAAAATTTTTCTAAAGGCGCCTTTGGCGCCAATATATACTAACTTTGAGGGGGGAGTGCGCGCCAAAAAACGCAATTTTTTGGTCAAAATTTTCCATAAAGTGCCTAAAAACGCTTTTTTTGGCAGTTTTTTCAAAATTTTGCCTGCGGCGCAGAAAATTTTACCAAAACAGGGTCTTTTTAGTGTTTTGGAAGAGCTCGGAAAATCAATTTGGTCGACCTAAAAATTTTTTTTGGAAATCCGCCCCCCCCCCCCCCCTCGAGAAAATCCTAGGTCCGCCCCTGGCCAAGATCATATTTCAAGTTAAAATTCATGGGTGCAAAATGTTAGATGCAACCTAACTGTGTTTGAGACCAGGTTCATTTTAAAAAGTGCACTCAATCTTTGTCAAAATGGACTACCTGAACACTCTTATTTTATAGTAGTCCTAAAAATCCTAACTCCTCTCCTACCATTCCTAACACCATGTGGCACAGAAAGCTTAACTATAGCAAGGACAAAGTCATTATAAATGATGAAATTTAAAATATTTTTAAAAGGCATTCAAACCAAAACTTTACCGAGGCATATGAATGATTTGAACTTGGTCCCAAAAACCAAATAACAAGGAGAAGGTATCAGAAAAACGGAGTCTTCATTCAACCATTCTTAAAACTAATTCACATTGTGAACGTTTCGATAACCTGTCTGAATCAGGACATCTTCGGACAGCCTGTAAAAAGTAAAAAAAAAAGATTGAAGCGACTCAAAAAGAATGTTTTTAACTTCATTGGGACACTTTTGCCCGTGGTAACAAAGGAATATCTTTAAGGAAAGTCAATCGAAAGACTTTGTTTTCAGCAAACCATTTTTCTCACCTTCAATTCCCTGACTTCGCATCTAATGGTCTCGGCTAGTGACTGTGGTTTACAGGGATGTCCCGGACTAGACTCCCCCTCCACCCCATACTCAAAGTGATGCTCCTCACGTATAGAGGGAGGGGAGGTTGATGCAGAATGCTGCTGCTGACGATGACGCAATTGTTGCTCGCCCCCACTGACACAAGTAGAAGAAGTGTCACTAGTGTCCACTGTCATTTTAAGGGGAGCAAATTTTGTTACCACTGATGATCAGAGAGTCAGAGTAATAAAAAATAAGTTCCCACTCGAAGATAATTCTCTACGCTTGCGACCGACCTCGAACTGACTGAAACGTCAAATTAACACATGTTGGTCAGTTGTTCTCAGCAGCAGTTAATTCGTTCTTTGATAGCTATTTAACTGATCGGGTCTCTTGTTGACTAGTCAAACACAATTTAAAATCTGTTCTCTCTCGCCTCAGCTCCGATCACATGAATTTAAAAGAGCGAAGCAACGCCTGCGCCCTTTTGTGCGATGGTAGACTGCTCTGAAGTTCAGAATATTAAACTAACATCAACTTGTCGTTCCAATTTTGTATCATTTGCTTGTCTTGGTTCGAAGATCTGTTAACATTAAAAGGGAACTTCAAAATCTATAACTGAGTTCAACCTCATTAATTGGTCTTGACTAACAAAGAGTGAAATATTATTGGGGTCGAATTTAAACAATTTGGTTGTTTGGTTCTTTAAATAGTTTGACTTTGATTGCACAGTGACGATAAGCAGTTTCTAGGCCCAATCAGAGCTGAGAATTTGATTCAAGGTCGCGTTAGTAAAAGTCAAATTGGGATCCCAAGAAACAAAAGATAGGATGCTAGCACCAGGGAAGCTTCCATACACCATCAATTCAATCTATATACAAAATAAATCTGAAACGAATCAGAGACCACAATTGATTAACACGAAGGACACAGTTGTTGTTTCATTTTGGTAGCACAGTTGATACAATTTGACAGCTTGTACTAGACTAGCATATCAAGCACCATATCACCACTACCACTGAATCGCATCTAACTCTACAACTAGATAGATTTACATTGCATACACTTGGATATCTGCTTAAGCTTCCTTAAACTCAACCAAGGAGATCCAACAACAACAACAGAATCAGTGTTTTCCTCATACTATCTGTTCAACCACATCCATATAGTTAGTTAGCTCAACACCAGACTATATTTCAAACTCAACGCACAAAACGCCACTCACAAATGATGTCTTCACGTCGAGCATGACAGACAAAACTAACACTACTAAATCTAACGAAATATTCAAAAAAAAAACGTAAAAAACGATTGGTAAATCCGAACAGCAAAAAGTTAACGGAAATAGATAGGAATCGAACTCCACCCAGCCACTCAAAAGTCCAACGCATTAACACTTAATAATTTAATCAATTACAACGCAAGCAACAAGAAGCCTAAAAGCTTATGCTAAATTCGTGTAGAAGGCATTAGTTTTGCTCTAATCCAAGTTCTTCACTTGGCGTCACAATATTACACAAAAATTGGCTTCACAATATTACACAAACTAGGGTTGAGCTATTGTAGTTGTCAGCCGGTCCGAATTGGTAAGCGTTATATATTTATGGACTCACTACTTTGAGCAATTTATGTTGGTCATTTGACCTTGTAGTGAGAAAAGATAAGAAACTGTGCTGAAAGCGCAGAAGATGCATTTACGGTTTATAAACCAGACGGGAAAATTCTGATACACACACCACGCACAGCTTGGGTGCAAACACAAAGGAAACAACCAAGGTTATTGAGGAACAGCGGGTTTAATTTTGTTGCTAACCCAATGATTTATGGGACATGCAGACCGTCACGGCTAAGTGACTATGTCGCATACAAATCCGCGCGGAGAACGGGACCTAGTTGGCATTTTTAAGACATAGAACATCCAAATGCGCCTCAACATCCGATGTTCAAGGAAGACACGGCAACAGGGCTACCAAAGACGCTCACAAGGTAAGAAAAACAGGAGAATATACAAGACAGCCCAAAAAAAGAAAGGCGAAACCAACCGGCAAAGAACAGCTTGAAAGCCGCAAAGAACACTAACACAGGGTAAGAGCTTTTAGGCATAGGGGAAAATGTCAAACACAATGGACCATACAGCTCAACAACCAGTAACTCCAGAAATAGGCAACAACGTCAAGCGAAGACTGTTCCTCGTCAGGGAACACTGCCCCATCGCCAAAGAGACTAAACCAAAAGAAGACACCCAACGTAGAAAATTATCAAACTAACCCAAAAATCAATACAAAACAGAAAATCGACCCTAGCCGGAGCACTGGGAAACCCGATACCGATACATACAATCGAGGACACAAAGAGAAAAAAAAATAGAAAAACCAATTTGCCATAGATTCACCAGCGGATATAGTATCAACGGAAATTAAGTCTAACATTAAAAGCTTGATACAGGAAATGGGTTTCAAAGAAAATACGCCAGAAAATCAAGCCCTCGTCAAATTTATCGAAGCCACAAAACCAAAACCAAAGGAAAAGTCAATCGACATCGTCGATCTAGTTTCACCGATGAACAGCCCCAATAGAGACACCATACAAAATCAAAACGAAGTACTTTTTGTCATTGATACACAAAACCAGAAAATCTAGGTACAAAAGATCACGAAGAAAGACGCAGACTCACCCGAAGAACACGCGAAACATTAGGAAGAGGAAAACGAAGGCGAGACTTACAAGACAGACAAAACTGACAAACGCCAGACAACACCATGCGAAAAACTTCATACCAACCAGTCCCACTGGGACTCAAAAACTCAAAGTAGTCCCATAGGGACTGAATAAACTCTAGTCCCTGAGGGACTTGAAACTCATGAACTTTAACTTTCCCAGGGGAATGTCATACGTTCCGGATTGGCAAACGTTATATATTTCTAGACTCACTACGTTGAGCAATTTATAATGGTCATTTGACCTTGTGGTGAGAAAAGATAACAAACTTTGCTGAAAGAGCAGAAGATGAATTAACGGCTTAAAAACAAGTTGTCTTACTTGAGTTACGACCAGAGATTGTAGTTTACCAATCCGTTCGGATTCGGTATTTCACATACATCATACTGCATGGTATGACATTAGTGAAAAGCGCCTGCGCAAGGTCATTTCAGCAAAACGCTAAGACTAATAACCGCAACTTGAACAAAGGCGAAGCAGTACTCGCAAACATGGAACGAAAAAAGTTTTAATTTCCTTACTTTTACCTTTTCTTTCTTTATTTCAATTTTTTTTAAAACTATTTAGAGCTTCTTTCCGCCGTTTTATCAATTGTGTTTGCAAAGCGCAGATGAGAGGATGCAAGACTCTGAATTTCCAGGCTAGGAGTTTGAAAATTTATTTATAGCATTGGCATTTGAATAACATCTCTTGAAATCACCCTGCTAGCGGCTAGTTTTGTAGATTGACAAGTGACCATGCCGCGATCACGTCATACTCTGAACCTCACTTAACATGACACTGCGATCGCTAGCAATACTTAAAAACAAAGACTTGAAGATCCTTCCAAAAACAGGCACAGAAAACTATCATTGCAAAAAAAAAGAATTGACCAACACACAGATTAAAGTATGCTGCTAGAACATATAAATCATCCAAAATTCATATGCCTGTGAGTTTAAAATCTTTCATCGTTGAAAAAGAGAGACCTCTGATTCTACAGAATATTCACTATATACTAAACTTAAGTTTAAAAAGCGACATAATGCAGACCAGTTTTCTCGACAAATTCCTTTTGAATCACGACTGGTAGAACTTTACCTCAACCGCACTTTCTTCAACGCAGTAAAATCAGCTAAACATCTAGGCCATAGTTCTTTCCCACTCTTTGGAAGCGCTTGGAAAAAAATCTGCATTATGTCGGCTCAGCGAGCAATTTCTTTCAAGTTTTTAGGCCAAAATAATCTAAGTATACACATCCCGAAACAACAACTTCAAAATCACAGCACTTTTAATTGATTTTTTCTCTATAGAAGAAAACAAAAATTTGCTTTTATTATGAAAAATTGCCAATCAGAGAAAAAATCTTACACAAACTGCTGCTTTTCAATCAAGTCAAAAACCAGTTTCTTAGAAACGACGTGTCAAGGAAGCCTAAACCCTTTTTTCATTCTACGCAGCTTGTTAATCAATGCATTCTTTTTAAAATTTTGGGTTACAATAAAATAACTATATCAAATACTGCTTTTTAAATCAGACGTGCGAGTATTTCTCAATTGAAGGACTTTAATGTAATCCCAGGCATAATCGTTACCTCCATCCTAAGTTGGCCGGGAACGCATAGAAGTTTGAATTCAATATGAACCAAGATATAACTGATTCAAGTTATTCTGTTAAACAAGTGGTTAACCCGAAAAAAGTCTATATTCCAGTTTGATAAGAAAATACAAATATCAGAAAAAAAATTTAAAAAAAAAATTACCCCCATGGGTTTCTCCAGAAATAGAGTTTGATGTCTTTCCGAACTCCCCATACTACTTTCCTATCTTCCAAATACCAGCTACTATTAAAGCAGATAAAAGACATGCTATTTCACTATCGGATAGTACTGATTTAAATTATACGGATAACACAAAAAAAAAACTAAAATTAAAAGATGACTACAAAAAGTGCGTAGAACTTTAGCAGATTTATTACAGTGCAAACAATCTGAAAAATTTGGGCCCAAACTTCGACCCCATAAAAGATCATTTTTGGCCTTTTCTAGTTATTGAAAAATTATGCTGGAACTACCGGATCAATTGCTGATGAAAATTACATCAAAGTGAGCATCTTATGTACCCGAACAAAGTTAAAGAAGGGTATAATCTCTAAAAAATGAACAAAATGTTTCAGCATGGTTTTCATATAAAAATTGGGTTATTTATATAGTAAAAATGACACTTATTGACTATCAAAGAAAATAAATTTGTTTATACTAAAGTTGAATGATTGCACCCATCTTCAAGTTTGTTGGGCTATATAAGAGGCTCATTTTGGTATATTTTTATCAGCCTTTGATTCGTTCGGTAGTTCTGGCGTAAATTTTCATTGACTAAAAAAGCCAAAATTGATCACTTTTGGGTAGAATTTCGGACCCGAATTTGGCAGAATGAACTGCACCATAATATTTCTGCTAAAAATCAAGGCAAGTTTTGGCTCCATCATTTTTTTTTTGCCTCAAGTCAACCAATTTAAAAAAAACTAGTTTAAAATTTGAAGTTTTATTCGTTTTGTCCGGATATTTCAAATCAGCACTGTAATTACAACCGTAAAAACATCACACCTCTGTACAGCTAAGTAAGAAATATCCGACGTTCAGTTTTTTGCAAACTCTCTCAGAGTTGTCAGCAAATACTCTAAGACTGTAAAACAAAGCCTCTTAGCGTGAGGAATTTTCCGACTTTTTAGCAGACCTGTCAAATGGCCGCTTCACATATACTTGCGAATGGCACTCAGTTGAATCTAGGCTGACTTAAGCTGTCTGGAATTAGAGGGAACAGCTAAGAAAGAGGAACACACACGAAGGAGCGGCTGGAAGGCAAAAAGCAAAGAGAGAGAGAGAGAGCACACGGGCAGATAGCAATCAAGCCATGCTGTAACCTAAACTGCCATTTAGAAAATCACAACCAAGGCTTGTCGGGCTAAATAAACCAGTGCAACATGCATTAATACAAGAGACCCACAAGGACGACGCCTACTCGAATTGAACTGGATTTCGAGGGATCCTATCACTGAATTCACAGCTGCAAACCCAACAAAAACACCCCCGAAAGCCACGAAGCAGACCATAACTTCTAATATTAGCATTTTGATTACGGAGGAGCGCCAGTTTAGAGAACTAGCCAAGTGGGAATTAGCTTTCGAGGGATCTCTCTCATTCAGTTCTCTTCACGGAAGATCGTAAAACAGATCTAATGCAACATGAAAAAGATTTCGACCAATTTAGAAAAGGGAAACTAAAATAGGCACAACCAAATCCGTCTCTTATTGAATACAAAATGAATCGCAATAAATTATTACAAAGCATAATTTAAGGAGGACACCTTATTGGGACCAGGGTCCACACACAACATCAGAATATTTCGAATACTCAACTCTATTTGTCGGTAAGTTTTGATAACCTAACCGGTGTGTAATTAGCACAAGCTGCAAACCACCGCACGAACACCACCTTGTAGAAATATTAAAACAGCAGAACTATATTTTCAATTCACATTCAGTCATTTGAGTAAATACTCCCTTTCTATATTTCGATCAACTTCCATAAACAAGTTGAACATATGGAGTCCATAAATCTCAAAAGCACATTGTTGGACGCGTGTTACCAAATTCATAAACTGGATTAGGACACATTCTTATCGTCAATAAAACTGTTTGAAGTTGAAGCACAAAATCAAAATAATAACAAGCGACTGCAACTGTCAGCAGAATGACATCAGAGCGAAGTGAAGAAGCAGAGACACTGATGGCGAAAGAGACACCTGGCGACCTTAATTCACAAGGGGTTATGGGCGACTCTTCTGCAATTGGGAAGAGCAACAGTGCTGGAGGAGGGGAGGGATCCACACAACACACACGGGACAGCCAGGAGGAGACAGCGAAGATGGAAGAAGAAGAAGAGGGGCAGAAGCAGCTGGAACATGCCAACTCATTCGGGGACATCGCCACAACAACACCAGCAGTGTCCAGTGGCGATAATAACACACTTGCACTGCTGGCATCTTCATCCTCAACAACAACTACAACAACAACTACTACAACAGCAGAAGCAGCTGAATACAACGAGGACCATGAACCACCACCACGACAAACAGATCACGCGGAAAGTCTCAGCATTACAATAGAAGGGGACGCATATAGAGACCGAATATTGTCCAAAGAAGGAGAACCAGTGTCACCACTGTCACCCTATGGGGGATCAGAGAGCTCTTCTTCGATTGATATTGAGCGGGACTGTTCCAGTGCATTCTCGACAGTGGCCAGTCCCAAACTGAAACTGAGTAGCTACTCGTTATCAGCAGCAGACACTAAGTACAGGTACAAGTACACGACACTCCCCAGTGGAGGCGGAGGAGGAGGGGAGAAGAGGAACAGATTGTCACTAGAGAAGTACAAGACAAGCAGCACAAGAGGCGACTATTCCAGTTCTCTTTCCAGATATGAAGAAGGGGGAGGAGGAGTGGGAAGTAGCAGCAGTAGCAGACGGACAAGAGAGGCGAGAGAGACTGAGAAGAAGAAGAAGAAGGAAGAAGAAAAAGAGATTGAGAAGAGTATAGTTGAGAGTGGTGCTGTTCGAATAGTGGAGTATTTGAGGATGGTGCAGACAGTGGACAAGGAGAGCATCACACTCTACTGCAGGTAACAAACCACCACCGCCACCGTTACTACTGCCTCTATACTCTTTCTTTACTCCATTTTTGCTTCCAGTCACAACACGCTCAATATGCCACTTAGTGTTGTTTAATGCAAATGACCCCCAGTTTTAGCTTAGGTAAACTAACGGTCAACCGGTCGAATCCAGTGTCTTCGAGCCAATATTCGCATATATAAAACGGGCGTCACTCATAAAACGCCTCTTTTGAGCAAACAACTAGCATAAAATTGGAACACAAAATTCAGATATTGTGCAAACTAAAATAACTATACTCTAAAAACATACATACAACTTTTTATGGACCGAATCAGTTCGCAATAAGTTCAATTTTTTTAGGCAATGAAAGTTTGAAACGATGCGAATCGGACAGCCAAAAGTTTCAGTTTTTCTTTTAGAGTCCTTCAACAGATGAAATTTTGAAATGCTTCAAAGTATTTCACAGAGCGAACTGATTCGCAAAAGATTCAAGTTTTTCTATTCAAGTTATCCAAATTTATAAAAAATGTTTTTCAAATTTTTTTTCAAAACTCAAGGTATTTTTGAAATATTTCGAGTTATTTAGACCGAAATTTTTTTGAGCTAACCGAGCGATGAGGAATTGAAAAGATACAAAGTGTTTCTTAGAGAAAACCAGTTCGCAAAAAATTCAAGTTTTACTTAAGCAAGCTATTGAGGCTATGAAAAATGAAAAATTTCCAAGTTTTTTCTTAAAAGGGAACGTTTTGCGAAAAATTAGTTTTTATGCTAACAATTAAAGCTTTCCAAAGCAAGATATTCAAGCTATGAATTTTTGAAGTATTTCAGTTATTTCATAAAGAGAACCGGATGGAGAAATATTTAAGTGTTTCTAAAAGAGCTATTTTAGCTATGAAACTTTGAAATATTTCAAGATATTTCATGAAACGAATCGGTTCACAAACATTTATAAAAAACTATTCATGCTATCAAACTTTGAAACTTTTCAAGTTATTTCATGATGGAAATCGGTTCAAGAAAAAATTAGGTTTTTTTAAGCAAGCTACCGAAGCCATGAAACGCCGAAATATTTCCAAATGATTTCATAGACGGATTCGGTTGGCAAACAAATTATGTTTTTCAAAGCAAGATTTTAAGCTAAGATTTTAAGCTGAAGATATTTCACAAAACGAATCAGTTTGAGAAATTTAAGTTTTTATAATCATGCTATTAGAGTTATGAAACTTTGAAATATTTCAAGTTATTTCAGACTGAGTCCATTCGCGAAAAGTGTAAGTTTTTCTAAGCAAGCTATTCAAGCCATGAACTTTTGAATTAATTCCAAGATATTTCTTACACTGACTTGGTTCGTGCAAAGTGTAAGTTTTTCTAAGCAAGCTATTAGAGCTATGCAACTTTGAAACATTTCAAGTTATTTCATGAACTGGATCAGTTCGCGAATAGCTTAAGTTTTTCTCAGCAAGCTATTCAAGCTATGAAGCTTTCAAATACTTCAAGTTATTTCATAGACCGAAAAGTTTCTCTCAGAGCATGGAGATTGCTGTTTTTAGTTGATTCGTTTCAGACTGAAATAATTCTGACAACGCAAAATTTTGGACAAAAATTAGGCAGGTATGTGTAGCCTTGAAGTTAAATCGAGTTCATCTTGCACTGATTGATTCTTAAACATTGCGCTCGATACCCCCTTAACCATTGCGCCTTATGTCAGCTAAAACATGGCATTAACTTTTCTGTCATTCGTTTAACATATAGGATTTCATGCTCATTTGAAGCTATTGATTGACGAAGGACTAATTGCAAATTAAGATCTGGTTCAGGTTCGAGGGTAAGGTGGATTCGATTGTGTGGCTGCATGAGGGGAGAGTGATCCGGAATGAGGCGGACTTCAGACAGTTCCACACTCCGGACGGGTTTGCCTGTCTCGTCATACAGGATGCCATGCACCCAGAGGACACCGGCACTTACACGTGCACACTCACAGCTGCCCACTCGTCTTCTACTTCAACTACTACTGCTGCTAGTGAGAAACAGACAGCAGAGAAAGAGGGTGAGGAGGAGGCGGGCACAGACACAAAAAGAAAGAAGGACGCCAGTAGCTCCACCAGCTGCAGCTGTGACATGTTCCTCGATGTCAAGAGAGGCAAGTATAGACTCAAATTACACATCTTTTTCGAAGAAGGAAAAATTCCAGCAACCATTCACCACAAAACAAGAATACTCGTTTCGGCTGCTCAGTAAGTTGTACAAACGGTTTCAATCATAGTCAGGGGCGGATCTAGGATTTTCTCGAGGGGGGGGGGGGGGGGGGGGCAGACTTTCAACAACAAAAAAAATCGAAAATTTTGTCGACCTTTTTTTTAGGTCGATCAAATTGATCAAATTGAAGAGACCCTGTTTTGGCCAAATTTTCTGCACCGCAGGCAAAATTTCGAAAAAAAACAAGCCAAAAAAGCGTTTTTAAGCATTTTTTTAAAAATTTTGACCAACAAAACGCTTTTTTTCGCGCGCGCTCCCCCTTCAAAATTAGTATATATTGGTGCCAAAAGCGCTTTTACAAAACTTTTAGGGTCCGTCAGCCAAAAATGGATATCTCAAAATAGTACAAAGGGGGGACCCTATTGGTCGGCAGGTGGTCAAATCCCCCCTGAATCCGCTTCTGATCATAGTAATCTTGGGAAAAAAATATTTAAAAAATCAAAAGAAACTGTCGGTTTTTTCATTAATTTTTTTGTAATTGTCGTGAATCGTGAAATTGAAACGGCTCGATCAGGAACTTAACACTTATATATCTTAATAATGATTGAAGTTCTTTTAAATCAGTTTGCATTACAGTTTTTTATTTCAGAACTCGATAGCTTAGTTTTTTACAGCTTTATAAAAAAAATTGAAACAACTGTAGGCAAATTACTTCCGATCATTAAAAATCAAATAGATACGAAACGAAGCTCCAACAAAGCATGATGCAAAACGAAAAGTTAGCAAAAAGAGAAGATGCAGGGTCATAAAAGCAAAAACGAGAGAAGGCGCCAAAAGACAATGTAGTTCATAAAAGTCATAAATTGTTGCTTATTTTGGTAAAACGCGAGGTCACTTCGACGAAGTAAATGTCCGCAGTTTTGTGGTACTTTTACATGACAACTAATAAGCTCAGCAAAAACTCCAGATTAATTGCAAGTGATTTGGATTCGATATGCAGGTGGTGTTTTTAGGCGGTGGTGGCGATTGCGTGCAGCGGAGGATGGATAGGAAGATAGAATTTAATAGGAGCAGTGATCTCCTCAGGGCAACTCAGCAGATGTTGAGGGGCCCAGTGGGACCCCCTCTGTTCACGTGTGGCCTACCCGCAGACACTCACGCACACGATGGGGACAGGGTCACTCTCAGATGCAAAATACAAGGTATCTAAATAATATGCATCTCCTCAACAATCGCCCTCCCTTTGGTATCTACTGAAAAATGGCCACCCCTTCAAATAAAAGTAGTAAAAGAGCACTATAGCGTTATAAATTAAAACTTGAACTTTGCTGCAATCTGATTGGTCCAAAATCCGCCAAGTTACTCTACTTAACAGTTTCCCCCCTTTACAAGTAAAGTACAAGTAAAAACTACAAAAAAAATTGGTCAGATTGCCAAACTGTCAAAATTAGCGAACGCAATCTGACTTTTTCCTGGAAACAAGACCAAGCGAAATTAATGAAAAATCGCAGTGTTTACTTTCAATTGTCAGCTAAATGAGTGTTTTGAGGGACTGTGTTCTGTTGTGTTTAGGGAGTGAGCCGATGAAGGTGGAGTGGCTGCATCCGGGAGGTCAGCAGTCAGGCGCACCAGGCGGAGGAGGTGGGGTGGAGGGGGAGGACTTCTTGACAGATGTGCAGCAGACAGCCACTGGGGACTGTGTGAGGGCCAGTATGACCATCCCAGACTGTGTGGAGAGTGAGGACAGAGGGGAGTGGACATGCAGAGTGAGCAACAAGTACGGAGTGGCCACCACACTCACCACACTACATGTACAGCCCCAGACACAGCCACAAGGCAACTATACTTACTATTACTACATCTTCACCCCACATTACCCCCACCCCACCCAAGGAAAGATAACAGTCTAGGAACAAACACTTTTCAGGCGTTCCAGCACAACCTGTAACGAAGCACAACATCCACACAAACACCCACGGCGTCCCAGTGGATAACTATGAATTCATACTCGCTTCACCAGCTAATCAAGCCTTTGCTACGCCCAGCAACAACGACCAGTACGCTAATCAACTGGGTAGAGCTTCCTCCCAATTGAAATCTGTTCAAACTGCTCCCAATGCGATGCTGTCTTCTGTCCCTTTTGCCACGGTCAAAGTGCGAAAGACAAGTGAGCCCCCCATGTACAGTAACTCTAGCAACAACACTGGCCTCTCGGTGCTCGCTGAGTTTGACACAGACCCGGTGCTGCCCAGCTACTCGTGCAGACCGAAGAAAGTGCTGCAGAAGTCGCAGTCTCTGAATCCTTACAGCGTGGACTACATGTCTACCAGAGGAAGTGGAGTAGCCGCACTCCGACCTGTGAGGATGATGGATCCAGGGTCCGGTGCAATGGCTCCAGTGGGAGGCTTCGAGGGACTGCCGTTTGGGAAAGTGACTATTGACAAGGAGAATGCCAATGGCAGGGAAGTGGGCAACAGAGGATCCATGATATCCATCGAGCTCGAAAGCAGCAGCAGTTCCTCATCAACCCTTTCTCAGCACAGTGGTCATGATAGGTCTTATTTAGATCCACCAACAACCAACTACAGTGATAGGCTCCCAAGCTCAAGGCGTAAGCCTCATATGCCCATCGCAAAACAACAATCTCTTCCCTACACTTACACCAACAATTATAACCCCATAACTTACACACCGCTGGTTTCTAGACAATTGTCGCTTGATAAAGCTCAAACTAGTCTTGGTGTAACACCTCCGTTCGAGAATGCAGTTCCGAGCGAGTCTAATAAGAAAGAGGATTTGATCCGATATCTACAGAGCTTGCCAGATGCACTGTTCGACCACGGATCAGTCAGTGAACAACTAATTTCTCAGGCTCTGAATACAGGACAGATAGGCAGAGTTGATCCAAAAACTAGTGCGGAATCTCAGAAAGAGTCGGAATCCAGACGTTCACTATTTAATTCAGAGACTCGTAACATTAGCCAGGAGCTAACACGAAGCTGCAATAAGTTTGATGACGCAGAGCAAACCAATCGAAATATTAATAACTTTCTATCACATACAAAAGACACTAAAAGCAGCAGTAGCTTTCAACCTCAGACCGATTCAGAGCTCATATCTAAGAATTCAAGCCAGCTAGCTTTGACACAAGATAAGGAGGAGCCACCAGGAAACAAAACTCAGATCTCAACTTGGACTGGACCAGTAACAGCTTCCACGGAATCACAAGGCAGGGCTAGAAAAGAATCTCAACCCAGAGAAAAACGGGCCAAGTCTGCGGGCAAGATCCCCGTGCCAGCCAGACTGGCCAGATCCAAAACTCCTATCCCCACCACCACTCTCAAGGCTACAGAGACGACCACAGATCGCTCAGCCAATCAGACGACGCCGTCTACAAAAAATACTGAAGGGAACCCAAGCAAAAACAACCCCACAGGAAAAAATATTGGACTGCAATCAAACCAAACAAATATTCCCTCAAAAACTGGAGCATCTCATAAAGCCGGGACCAATCCTAAGCCAGATGGATCCGCGAAAAGTCTGGACATTAAGACCACTCGTGCAGCTAATTACCCAAGACAGACATTTAGACGATAACTGGTAGTTAATCAATAATTCACCCCTATTATTCATTAACATTGTTTTTTTACTCGAATCAACCCCAGAGTAGTGTACCGCTAAAATGAAAGCGGTAAGAAAAGCGGCCAATCAACAAGTATAAGCGAAAACAGCATAAAAAGCAATATATTTAAAGCAATTTTAACCAGGACAGCCGTTTACTATACAAGTACCACATACTGCTCTGACAATTGTCTTAAAAAACACAAATTTTTGTTTTCAAATTAGAGTTGTTTTTTTTTCTGCGTGGAGTGACAAAAGGATCTGAACGGAAAACTAGAGCTTAGGCATATTAGACGGTCATAGTAAAAATAAGCAAACTTTCAATAAACAGACTAGAAAAACTTTTTAAAAATCAAGAAACTAATTTTATTGGAGTAAAAGAAAAATTAACCACAAATAAGCTATTTAAACGGCTTAAACTAAGCTTAAATAAGCCTACTTGCTTGCTTTTTTTGCTCAAAAAATAGCTAAATCAAATACTTCATACGTGTTTTTCTGGACACTGAAAAACAAATAGCCTTCAAGCAATCTTCAATTATTTTTTGAAAAGACAAGGATAGCCGGTTACTGTGCAAGTAACACAGAATGATCCAACCATTGTCTTAAATAAACATTTCATTTTAAATTAGGGTAGCTTTTTTCTGCGTAGTGATAAAAAAAATTGCATAATTTTTCAATTTTTGATTCGCAAAATGGCGTTAAAAATCTCTGAAAAAAAAACAAATTTCGCTCGAGTAAAACTAAAACTAAGCATAAATGAGATACTGTATACGGCCTAAATTAAGCAAAAAAAAGCATGCTCACTCGCTTTAAACGGTCGAAACTAGACGAAAAACCAAAAAAAATCAACCAGGTTTTTCTCGACACATCAGACTGAAATATATCACTCGACCTATCCCGATGATTGTTTCTGGTACCTGTTTTTCTTCGAAAACAAACATTTGAAGTAGAAAAAAAAGACAAAGTTACTGTCAATGGTCGCAACAAAAAGAGATGACAATGATCTCACCAACGTTGAATCAAATTTCCGTCAAATCGTAACCCTAAAGGGGTATACAAGACTCGCTTCAGTTAACTAGTTTTTTTTTCGAAAATTCCATAACAAAAGCATAAACATTCAAATTACTTTTAAATTCGCTTTGATTTTCTTGAAATTATTAGGCAGGGAAAGCGCCAACTCAAGCTTAAAAAGTCTTTTTTAAGCTAAAAATTTCATTATATCGTTTAGGAAATGGTCTGCTTGCTCTCTTTACTCGCAAAAGTTAGGCTAGAAAATCAAAATCGACTTTTGGAGAAAACTTCGGAAGAACTTTTTGATGTCAATCAAATCACGGTTGAGGAGTCTTTAATATTATGAATCACTGGACCCCATCTGACGTTGATAAGAGGTACTTGATTTAACAATGAAAACAAGTAGTTAAACGCAAAAGCAACGCTTCGCGCCATTTGTGATACAACACAAACAAAGCATCACAAACTAACCGACAGAAACTCGACGAGAGAAGCAACAACCAAATATTCCGCAAACGACTTAAAAGGAAGCAAGTAAGCCCATATAATAAAGACCAAAAGAAGATCTACAGAAAAAGGAGTTGACAAAAATTAAAACATAGCCAGTCGAAAGTTGGAAAAGAGTAAATGAACGCAGGAAAACACAAAATTATTGTTTTTTTTTAATTTGAGAACACTGGAACAAAGAGTAAACTTTTTTTTCCACTGGGAAATCTGAAAATTGAAGTCCCCTTTATGAAATTAAAATTCGATCAAGTTTTTCGTGACCTTTTCACTTTTGCTGTTCGAAAGTGAAGTTCGCCTTTCTTCTACTGAAAGAAATGAAATGCAATGAAAAAGAAACTGTATGTAACATCGCAAAGAAATCAAACTAACAGAAAAACAAATTTGGAAAAAACGAGCATTTAAAAAACAAACATGCTCAAAATTTGTCAGTGAGTTGACAAAAAAACACATTCAGAGATTGCCACAATTTGAATCATCCTGTGAACAAATTTATTAACGGTAGAAAGCCTAGTATCCGGTGACAACATTTACCCTATGAGCATAAAAAATTGAAGTTCGGAAATCTCATTTTTCCGACCACGGAAGGTTTGAAGGAATTTTAGATTCGAGCTTTTTCTCATCCAAATCCAAGTCTCACAAAACAATACATGAACTCACAATATCATATATGATCCCACAATATCATTTGAGAAGTTCACTTTTGAGTGAGCCAAAAAGATTCACAAATGGTCAAAATCAAAAATTTGACTTTTCTGAGGGCCTTAATTTTATTTGTAAAAAAAATTGGGCGTAGCAGCTTATGCAGGAAGCTATTCAAAACTGTTCTATTCATTGAAACCGAAAACTCAGATTTGAGAAAGTAAGATTTCGAGAAAACGAAAAAAAAAACATTCCCCAAAGACTTTTTCGAAGGCTGCAGACAGCGGGGTCAAGTAGAAGACACTCTAGAGGAGCATGCAGATACACAGGGTAGTATGCGGGCGGTTATTCAATTGATACCCATTTTTTTCAAAATCAGTAAAGTTTCTGAGAAAAACTAAATATTTCCAATAAATTCGTAAATAATTTTCCATAACGAAAAAAAAAAATGCAACAAACCGATTGGTAACAAACAACCAACTTGAATAGTGCTGGGGAGAGTGTTAAAACTGTGTTTTACTTGAAATGACCCAAAATTAGGTCATTAGCGCGCAGCATAAAAAACGATTCCAAGATGCGACAACTAAGCCGACAGCAGATAAATAGTTGCAAAAACAACTATAGAGTGAAGCTCGGTCTGCAATCAAATCAAACACTATTTTAAGAATTGTAACATCAAATAAAACAGAAAACAATTCAAAACCAGATGGAGCAGCAAAAGCTCATAAAAATCATGTGAAAACCGAACCTGGTAAAAAATTACGTCACGTAGAAAGGATTTGAACTAAACTCAAATTCGATTTTATGCTGTTACGAATCTTCTTTTTTCGCATAAACTTTGCAATCACCAACCCTCACGGTATAACCAGTTGAAGATTGAACTGAGCGCTCAAAACGGAAACTGCGTGCGAAAAAAAAAGCGACAACACCTCAAAACTTGTGGAACGCTTACGATAGCAACTTCAACTTTGATCTATCATCAGCCGAAACAATTCAAGCCGAAAAAAACTCGGAAATTACAACCAACATGAAAATTCGAATGGAACGTTAACAGCACGAAATATATTGCGCTTTAATTGTCCCAAATTGGCAACCTTTAAGCCCCTATAACTTAACAAAAAATGGTCACAGTTGAAATATCTTTTTAAAGTTGAGCTTAAGTTGAACAATAACTTTCGAATGACATTTTTAAAAGCTCCGTCAAAATGGCTCGTAAAATCAAATTTCGTCTGGATAAAAAAATCACCCGAGCATAAATTTTCCGTCATTTTCTTTGGAAGTCGAAATCACTTTTCTAATCTTGCTTAGGGGATAGGAGTACGTTTCATAACTGAGACCTATCTGACACATCATCGCAAGCTATTCCACTGACAAAAGCCACTTAATCGAAACAAGACTGCTCGTGTATCAGGGCGAAGAATGCTTTCAAGCTCTGTATTTTGAGACTGCATTTTTAGGCAAATTTAAAAGTTTTGGGTTAAAAATTAATTGAAAAATTGTGAAAAATAATTTTTTTCTTTTTTGGTTAACTTATCCTCCGCAAAGGGATGTTAACTGCAAAGATATGTTTTTAGCGTCAAGAATCCAAAAATCCAATGACTTAACTCAATTCAGTTTGGAACGCAATTACCTGTCGGTTACGCGTATTATAAACTGGCCATGCAATTTTCAAACCCCTGTAACTTTGCCAAAAATGATCACATGTGAAAACTTTTTGAATTTGAGCTCCAGACAATATAAGTCAAGTGGTATAAGAAATCTGTTAAGAATTCTCAAGTTTAAAAGACGAAAATTGACTGAAAAAAAAACCGACACAAGGATAAATGTTCCCCAATTTTTGCTATAGTCGGAACAAAAACATATATATTTGAAAAAATGTCAAAAAACTTTATCTACCAAAACTTTCAAACGTTTTCCACAAATGAAACTTTATTTGAGAAAACGTAACGAGAAAAAAATGCCAAAAAAGGCCTAAGAAGATTCCATTCGACTAAGTCAATTTAATATAAAACAGAGGCATTTAAAGTCGAATGAACACTTCGATTCGTAAAAAGACAACAGCAACAACGACTAAGTCAATTTAAAATAAAACAGAGCCATTTAAAGTCGAATGAACACTTCGATTCGTAAAAAGACAACAGCAACTATATAAAATCGGAACTGGTTAAGTATTCACATGATTAAAATAGTTTAAAAAGAAAATTGTTGTTTCAATCATATAATTTGACGATGCGGAAAAGAAATTGAAAAAAAAACAAGGCAGCCGCTTGTTTGACAAAACGGACAATTTTTCAAAGTTTCTGTTTTTTAGATAGTGAGATGAGACTGACTTGGTTAGCGAGCCAGAAGAATCCAAAAACTATTTTTAAAAAGAGGCGGACTACTAAGCATTCAAACTATAGTTCGACATATAAACTTTCCCATCAAAAATCTTTAAATTTGGAAAACTTACAGCTCATGGCTCGACTCAACTCCGGTACCATAAGAGCGAAAATCCGAAGCAATTAAGACTCAATAATCGAATTTGAGAACTCACCTTAAAAACCGAGCATGCTCATTTACCGAGCCCTTCAAAAATTCAAGCTAAATTTGCTAACGAAGTTCGAGAAAAAGCCGCAAACATTGGTAACGCTCCCCGACAGATTGTCTTCAACTCCCAAATTGACCTGCCTCTTTATGCAGCGCCTACAATACCGAGTTACTCAACATCTCTTCGGAGTATAAACCGAATCAGGCAGCAAGCCTTAGAAACAATGCCAAAACCAGAAAACCTTGAGAGCGTCGACGAAACTTCTGAACCTCTCAAACTCATACACAGCGGTGATACGTTCCTGTATTTTGATTCTGGTAAGTCGGACAGTCGATTTTTAGTTTTTGCAATATTACCAGCGCTTGATTTGCTTTTTCAGTCGGAAATCTGTCATTGCGATGGAACGTTTTCAGTGGTACCAGATGTCTTTTACCAAGTTTATAATATTCATGGTGTAATCGAAAACGCAGTTAAACACTTGGTGTATGCTCTGCTGCCCAACAAGACACCTGAAAAACTTTTTGGCTGCTTAGAGCAATTTGGAAAAAAAGTAGTCGTTGATTTTGAAGCCGCTGTTCGCAACGCCATACGGAAAATGCAGCATGATACAGAAATTCAATTCTGTTTCTTCCATCTAGGCCAGGCAGTATGGCGCAATGTACAAAAACTTGGATTTACGCGCAAGCACATGGAAGATGATGACTTTTGGCTGAATGTCAAAAAAATGATTTGCATGGCATTCGTTCCCGTTGACGACGTTAATTTCGATTTTGAGGCTCTCCAAAAACTGGATCCTTCAGAGGAATTTCAGAGTCTATCGGACTATTTTGAAGACACCTATATTGGTGCCTGTCGAGGGAATAGACGCGTCAAACCAAAATTTGACATTGCCGATTGGAACGTTTTCAATCGGGTGCTCAGCGGTGAAAATCGTACGAACAATGCATTGGAGGCATGGAATGCCAGCTTCAATAAATTCGTGTCGACAAAGCACCCCGCCCTCCCCAAGCTCATCGCACGTTTCAAAGATGAGCAAAAAATGCCGAAATAAATGTAGAGAGACGAATGATGTCCGGTGATGTTATTAGAAAACCGAGGCCCAAGTATTCACTCACCAATGAGAAACTCGTTCAAAACGCAAAAAACTACAATCGAGACCCTATACAGAAGTATTTAAAACTTCGTACCTTCAATGTACATATATCTTGAAACTTTATGCATACCAAGTTTGTTTTGATCTTTGAAATTTGTTATTTGATGTTTCACATTTCTTTGTTAAAGTGTTGAAACCCTTCTGACTCTAATCAAATTAGAAAAGTTTTAAATTTTTTTGGCTGAATTGTCTGTATTTTAAATCGGATGAATTGTCTGTGGCTGAATTGCCTCTGCGCCAAAATTCGCAATTTTAAAATTCCAGAACTTCAAAAATGATCTGAGGTAAAATACCTTTTTTACATTTGATTTCAGGGGAGTAGATATCTTCAATGGGGTCTAAAAAAATCTTTGGTTAAAATTATTATTTCGACCGTCCAAAATTGACTGAATAAACAACCGCACCAAGCAAAAATATTCTGTTTTCTTCAAAAGCCGGAACAAAACTAACTCCTCGTGTAATTTCATTTGGTTGAAAATTGCTCTACTACTATAAAAAAAACTCCGTTTGCATTTGCTACTTTTAAACACAAAAGGAACGGCCTTCTACTATTTCCCTGCACTTTTGGTGCACCAAGAGAATTATGACAGAATGCTTAAAACTCAAACCAACTCTTAATCATGAAAAATGTAACGTGGCCGGGAACTTAAGCTGAAATATATAATGATGCTCCGGTTCTTCTGTAATTCTTGACGTTTCGCGGGCGGAAAAAAATTACACCGTAAAAAATATATAATTTGGGCCCGAAACCTATCAAGCCGAGAAAAATAAGAGGAAAAATTGAGCTATTATTTCTACAAGATTTTTGTAAAGCATTTGTGCGATCCAGTGAGCATTCAAATTATGCTTCCCTCGAAACGACCTACGCGAAACAATAAAGAAATACGAAGTCAAAGTAAGTAAAACAACAAATTGCAGGAGTAAAGCAAAGCACTAAAAGCAACTACAATAAAAAATTCTTACAGCAAAAAAACTATTCTAAGATGTGGCAGCTCGGCCGAAAACAACATTATCAGACAAATAATAGGCCGACAATTTTAATTGAAACAGAATATTTCCCATTCGAAAAAAAAAACAGCTCCTGGTTAAATTTCAACCCAGTACCTTTGCCGTCCCAGGTGTATTCGTTACCTCCATGCTAAGTGTGCCGAAATCGCTAAGAAACTTGAATTCATTATGAATCAACGTACCACCAGAAGATGAGTCCTGTTTAACAAAGTTGATAACGGGAAAAGTCTAGTACACGGTTGCAATACTCTTGCTAATTGGAAGGGTAAAAAAAATAGCAACCAAAATTTTACGTATGAGACGTACATCTACAAGAAGAAGACATGATAATCATCGCGCCTATTTGAACAAAATTCGCACAGAAGCTTCAATAGATCAAATTCTATTGATCAGCAATTGCCAATTCCTCTTCAAACTGGAAAAAAAACGTAAGTTAAAACAAAATACACAGCAGACGGTTATAATTGCGCAATTATTTCATTAATTCATTCGTCCATAAACTTATACAAATCTAAATTCATCAACGATTCACATTAAGGCACATTCAAGGCTTAAGAATAAGGGGAGTTCAATGTTTTATTGAAGCACTTTCAATCGCAGCCGTCTTGATTAAATCAAACTTTTCATTAAAAAGTCAGATAATATTTATAAGTAATAGCAATAAGGGTCCACAAAACACTAAGTTATAGAATCATGAAACTATGTTCGTTTAATGTAAAAACATCAACATTGTCCATGGGTGGCTTCGCTGTAATTGTATCTCTTCAGTGATTCGTCGTTTTCCTGTATCGAACATGCTAATAGCTTATCAGAAAGGCTTTGGACCCGATCATTAGAGGTGTGGCCATCCGTGGAACTTCTCTGATTCAAATTCACCAGGTTGATTGCACTTTGCATCTGTTTCTGTGGAGTTCTCCACTTGCTACACTTTGAAGTGGGCTTGGGGGTTGTGTCTTTCTGCTTCGGCTCCAGCAGCCAGCTGTATCCGTACTTCTCAAGAAACTCATTGAACTCCGGCTGACAATAATCACGCAACAGAGTCTCCACTATCGTCGCACAATTCTTTGCATCGTCTAATCCGCAGTGCTGTCTTCCCTCGAATTTGAGGCCTAGAGCCTCCAACATGGCAGCAATATCAGGCAGTTTGGGATAGTACTTGAGTTTGTAGTAGTTAGTAAACGTCTTTCGTATATTAATCCAGCGTGAAGCCCAGAAGGGCACGCAGATCTGATCTAGCATGCACTGTTGTACGAGAAATCTGGCAATATCCCACGGTCCATCAGTTACTACTGCAAAATGCACTCCTGGTTCGAACAATCCTTGATTACTCATCCACTCGTGCGCTTTTTCAAACACTGTGACAAAGCTGTCAGCCTGCTCTACTTGCTCTTGAGTGATCCCGGTCAATTTCATACAAAACTCGTCTAACACAGGATTGAGTTTAGGTCTAACGAACTGATGAAAAACGTCAACAGTCTTCCTTTCCGCACAGTCAAACAAAATGATAGGAAATTCAATAATTTCGTGCACAAAGCCTGGTGGGTTTTCTTCCATGCAGGTTGCTTCAAAGTCAATAAAAATTAGGTAATCTAGAGGTCGCAGACGCCCGGGAGAACGTTTGTTGAGCCCTGCTATTTCCTGTTTCTTGTCTCGGACATAACTTTTGAGGCGCTTCTGTTTCACTCCAAAACATCCACTGCAGCTGAGGCTAAAAGCTTTAAGAGCGTCTTCCAATTGTTCAGAATCAAGTCTGTTGATTTCTCCATTCAAAACTGCAAGCTCATGAAAAATGGGATTGCTAAAATCTGCTTTTTGCTTTTCTTCAACAAAATCAGCAAGGACCATCTTTTATATCTGAAAACGCAAGCAAACTATTTAATTCAGCTCTAAGATTAAGAATAGCACTGCCTGATACTAATTAATGAAAAGCTGAAATTGCTGCCCACTTCTTAATAAGATTAATAGCAGCCAAAAGTGGCTTAAGTGTTTCTTCCGCTCGCCTACTAATTTTACCCGTTTCTCTAGCCTCAGCACTAGAAGCGGAAGATACGTGAAGTTCTGTGAAATTTTTGTGTTGGGGCACGAGGATTGATTAAATAATGATGCATTAGCACTTTGGTTTGATGCAGCAAAAAGTGAAGAAGCTCGGGAAAACGGAAACCAAAAAAATTGGAGGAGCCCCTTTTTGATAACGAGATGTTAATAACGAGAAGAAACACTTAGGCAACTTTTAGCCTTAGACCAAGCAAAGCGACTCTGACCTACATATACCAGAAATACTTCAAAAAAATGTACAGTGAAGTCAACAAATGTACATGGAATCTCTTGTACAGATGTGGAAACTGCAATGTTTACAACAAACTGAGATAAAACATGGACTGTAAAAGGGGTGAAATTCCCTAGAGCTTATGCTCTGAAGCCTATTCTACTACTACTACTACTACTGCTACTACTATGTCTAAAATGAATTTGAAACTATGCCTACTGATGTGAGAGGTTCAATGTTTCCAGGGAAAACTCAGATCGCAATGTTGAATGTCATACCGTTGTAACATTCGTCTACTGCAGTCACACATGAGGCTTAAGAAAAATAGGCCCTATAACTATTGGCTCAAGAGTCAGGGACACTATCTCTTGTGTTTTTCCACCTCAAATCGGTCGGAGCCAATTCGGTTCGCTTGTGACACGAGACTACGACCGGTTACTGCTTAAGGCTACTTGTAACATTCGCCGGGAAGATACATATCGACGGATAACAAAACTAAGTCTTAAGACGACTGGCTAGCGTCTAAACAGAGCTTTGCATGTTTTTCACCGTCTCTACCAAGCCAGTACTTTTCAGTGGTCTTTCTTACATCGGGTCGACAAAAACGTTACTGCTCTCCGGCTTCGACCAGAACGCTCAAATTAACTGAATTACATGCAGAAATAGTGAGCTCATGGCTGGGTCTCAGTATCCCCAGACCACGAGGTCACTCCTAAAAACAGGGCTACTACTTATTATATTACTATTGTTTTTGTTCAGTAGATAACAACCATCATCTCCATCGAAGATGGATCAACCCTTTCCCCCCAACTCCTAGCTTCTCATCCTTATCAAAATGAATCCAGTTGTTAATTAAATTCAATTCAGGACATGACAAGAAGCTAAAAGTTTATATAAAAGGCTAAAAGTTCCAGTCCCGAAACCCTTCCGGATTCTTGAATCCAGTGAATCAAGCTCCTTAAGTTCAATTTCACGCCAATCAGGAAGGCTGGTTCTCACCCTTCACCGTTGTTGGCAACGGCCTTGCAACTATTGTAGCAGCACAATAGTTGCAACTTGGAACGTTCTCTCCTATTGTAGTTCGTTGTCGTTTTTCTTTAATCTCGATTTTCGTTCTGTTCGCAATCACAGATAAAGTTGTTCTATTTTTCTTAGTTCTTTTTCTAAAATGGCCGCTTCTGACGCTTCTCAGAAATATTACGTCATCACTTCGAAAATTTAAAATTTTAAAATACGGGAATATCCTGACCTTCACCGTTCTGCCAATCATCCGAATAACGTCGTTAATCCTTCGAAATCATCAACTCGGAAGGCCTACTGCTAAAAATTCGAAGTCTGCATAAATTGCATTTTGGCCATTCTGGTCGAATGTCACATACTCCCCGGACAGTCCGGTCAATGTCCTCATTGAATCGCACTATGTTCGTAAAATGGTTACAGTGTCATCGAACAGAATTTACAAAATGCACGAAATTACCTTTATCTACGTCACATCGACTCACTGCAGAATATAAATGGCATCATACTACATCACTATAGCCTTCAAGTTCTCTCATTAATCTGCACTCTGAGGATATGACTTAAGATAAAACATATTTTCTGACTTCCAGTGTCAATGTCCCGATTAAAGCTTTTTCTCCTAGATTTAACAGGTGTTGGCTTGCAGGACAGTCCTGCCAACCAACAAGCTAAAATTATCCTACTATGCTCCTTCCTTTCGGAAATCTTGCTTGTTTATTGTCCTGAATATTAAAACCAAGAAACCTTGTGGTTAGAAAGAACAATGCAACAACCTCCCTCCTCAAGAAGTTACTCAAGTTTTTCATGTCACCACAAAGTGATCAGTCTTCCTAAGTGATTAAAAACAATCATGCAGGCTGGAATATTTAAATATACTCTTCCCTCAAGCCTTTCTAAATAAATAATAAGTGAGTGTCTCTAAAGCCACTTCAACTAAAACCAAAATGCAAATTTATAAATGCAACAATTTCAAAACTCAACAAAATGTTTCAGTTTTCAATTACAACTTGGTTGCTTGGTTTCTCGCTTGAGTTTTTCACACACATAAAACAAATTCTGAGTTTTGACTTTTCTTCATCATTCCTTTGTTCTCTTCTTTTTTCGTCATTTAGAAGTTCTAAAACTTCTACATTCTTCTAATTTCCTTTCTTGCCGCCTCTTGTTTTCTCGACCATTCGTCAATGCTCCATTTCCTCCTCCTGTGACACTAACTCCGCACTTTCGGTTTCCGTGTCTTGTAGCACGTCATTGACTATCCTGACGCTGTTGGAAGCCGTCCTCCAACACTTCTGCTCTTCCACCCTCTGTTTACAGCAAGGTAGGGGATCCACGTTTGATTCTCTGTTTCTACAGAAGCTGTTGTGGAGACACAACGTCACGTTTCTCTCCAAATCTTCTTTCAGCATCTCTGCCTTCTCATTTCCACTACGCTCGCTCGTCCTGGAAATTCTTTTCACAGCGGTGGTCACTGCATTCCGATGGGTCACGAAAGCTCGCTTGAAAGCTCCTGCCCCAATGTCCAGCTGATATTCACTGTATACTCTGTCATGCTTCGACATGTGCTTTTTCGCATACTCGTACAACCATGCAGTCATGTTAGCTCTGAACCATGGCATCAATCGTTTTCTTGCCCATATCTTCTTCACTTCCATTGGAATCTTTAGAACTTTGCACATTGTCTCAAAAAGATCTAAATCTTTTAGACAATCTAATTTCTGCAATTGTTCTCTCGTCGGTGCCTCCTGTCTATTATTTTCTCTCACATGAGCTTCCAGCCATCGTATCGCCATCATAACTCCCACTATCACTATTGTTATGGGCTGTGATGAATCTGGTAAACCCATGGAGAGCAGCTCTCCAGAGTCCCAGATCAACACCAGATTACTACGCTTGGGATACCACCAGGTCTGCAGCAAGCAGTGGCAAGGAAACTCGTCATGTGTCAACATGATGCTCCTCCAATTCCGTTTTCCCGAAGCTTCCAGCAATGGTTCCACTTCCATCATCACTCGGTGGATCTCATCATTCTCATCTACTGCATTGTAATCTGTGACAGTTGATCCTCTCTGTTTCTGTTTTTCAAAGTCACTGAAGTTCCCGCTCACATATCCCATGAACTTCTTTCCCAGTATTGACTCCAACTCCTCTTTGGTTCTCTCTGGGACTGCTGAGAACATCTTACATAGTAACTCGTAAGACTTTTCAGACATTCTCGCCAATCTCACACACTTTGGCACTGAGAAAGCTTGATCCACGACCGTTCTTGTACTCTTCACGTCCACAGCCACGAAATGTACAGGGTATCTGCTCTTGCACATTGGAGCCAACGTTGAACCCACCAAATATCGTGCTCCTGATGGTCTACAATAAGTTTCGCTGTGTCTGATGTTCATCTCTGTTTCGATTGCCTCCCTCCATTTTCCTATATACTTCTGCTCAGTCTGCAGAACTCCTGGGAATACTTCTACGCTGATGGCTGTGACCATCTCATGTTTCTGTTCTAGATTCAATAGTGACTCTAAAGAACCAAACATGCTGTAGAATCCTAGTGCTGTCACTAGATTCACATCGGTTCCTCCATGGCAATCTGCTATCAGTTCCGTTTCCGTTCTTGCTTTCATAACTACATTTCCAAACAACACTGTCAACTGCTTGTGTTGTTTCTCCAGGGTTTTCACACAGTCTAGACTTCCACAAACGTGACCCTCTAGTCCACAGACTTCCGCCAGACAGCTACCAGGTTTGACCCAGTCTTCTGGTCCCCAGCCAGGCAACTCCACTTTATCTTCTCCGTTGCTCTTAGAGGCTGTTATCATCACTTTATATATGATGTTGAGGTCACGCAGGTTACAGTCCGCATTCAGTTCCCTCTGTATGTCTTGTGTCGCCCGTAATATTGAGTCAGCGTTGGGACTAGGACACCATGATGGCTTCATCAATTCCCACACTGCCATCAAGCTCGTTCTCAGTAATTCATCTGAGAATCCCAACCCAAATTCCACTCTCTTGTCGGATTTTGGTACTGAAGGTGCAGTCACCTCTTCTTCCAAGACCAATCCCAATTTGGCCTGTGGATTGTTAACGCTCTTAGTCGTCACAATTCTGGACGTCCAGAAACTTAGTAACACCGCCTGCTCATAATCAAAGAAGCAATCGCGTATGTCTTCTCTCAGTCATCCCTATAATCCCGGACACATAGCTATATGACTTCTTCTTGATCGGTCCACAGTATTCACTGGATTTCGGCAATGCTCCCATAGATTCTTTAGTGAGCCTCAACTCCTTGTTTGAGAATCTCCTGATCTCGTCTATCTTTTTCATGGGTTCCAATTCTTCAGGTTCTTTCATGTTCACCCTCATCGGTTTACTTTGCTGCATATCCAGCATTGCTAGAAAGAACATGGCTTTCGTTCGCTCATCGCCTTCCCTCAACATTTTAACACAAGTGTTTAATGCAGGTACTGAAATCTGCTCTATCAGGAATCGAATGAAACAGAGAGCGTCTCCTGGACACGCTACTGCTGCTCCCTCCTGGACTATCAGATCCCTCAGATTCGTCATAAG